CGTACAAAGCCAGATCCTTGCCTCAGGGCAACAACAGACTCAGAGAGCAGCTGTAGACACAGAGCACGCTGGAAAACCATGCACATATATAAACATCTCCTGTTGAAGGAAGTCAACAACAAATGGTCCTTGTTTGATAAATGTAATCGGAATACATAGTGTGTATTAATGTGCTTTGTAAGAGATCTTGAAAATGTCGGTGCGACTGAAAGCAAGCATGTATTTGTCAAGCATCAGCTGCAGAAAGGAAATCACATGCATGCCTCTGCTGCCATTAGCCTCTTGCCATTTATCAAGCTGTGAAGTTATTTCTTGGCTTTATTAGAAAACCTGGAATTGTTACAAAATGACAATCGACAGAAAGTGGAGCCTTTTTACAACTTCTGTAAATATTTAATTACCCATAAGGTATCCCAGGATTCTACTTGTTAAATGTGAGAATACCCTGAGGAGCCTGACTGTGGCAGGATAATGGACGAGAGGCAACTCAGTTTACTTATTAAGGTATTTCATTATACTCACAGCCTGGCCATTGGCTTCATACAGCGGACACTTCTGCTTGATCTTGGCCAGCTCCATGTTAACCTGCTTACTGATCACTGCCATGGGGTTCCCTCCTGAACAAGCAAACACACATAATTGAAGGCGACACAGCATATACACAAGCAATATCACCCTCTACAGGGACATTGAAGTAACAGCAGATAGAAAAGACCATTATCTGGCTGTACATCCAGCAAACTCTGATCATGTGCTACCAAGATCAATGTTTTCAATCCAACCAGAAATGACACAGAATAATCACTGATGTAGTATTCATGTTGAATAAAACTGTTAAAACAGTTAAACCTCCAGCAGCATGCAACTAACTGGACACTAAACATGTATAGGATGCTGTGAAGTTCTTAAGTTTTCACATTAAAGGAAATAAGTGGATTCATACCCAGGCCAGTCACCACCATGGCTCCCAGATCTGCAACGTAGTTTCCCTTCCTAAACGTGGCCACTCTGCCTCCAACACGGTCCTGTATGAAAAAAGTAAGTAAATATATAATGAGATGGAAAACTTGAGGCTGTTGTCAAATTATAAAAAGCAGGGTTTGCTTAACTCACTTGATTGGTTATGAACTTAACTCTGAGAAAACAAAAAAATGTATAGAATACTAAATAGAGGGTAACTGGTGGCCACAATGTCACAACATCGTACATGTTTTACAATCCTCAAATAATCTGTGCTGAAAGCTGAGTAACAGAACTGTGACAAAATACCAAACATATCTGAAATAACAGATCAACAAAAAGCCTGTTGTTGACTCACCCTGGCCTCTAATACTGTTACATCCATCCCAAAGCTCTGCAGCTGCCTGGCTGCAGCGAGGCCGGACACACCTCCACCAATAACTATAACCTTCCCAGTCTTCTTAGCTGCGACAACAAGCATAAGGTGCATTCATTAGTTAGCCGCACACCACTTGACAAATGGCTTGTTTTATTTTATCAGTGAAATGAATGGAGGGAACTCACTGGGTAAAGGCTTGACCCTCTTGTAAATGCCAAAGTTGATGAGGCCATGCCTTTCCAAGTAACTGTGTATCCTGTGAACCAGCACAGCGTCACCTAAAAAGACAAGAGTACATTAAATCTCAACTTACACATGACAACTATAGGGAATCAAAGGATAGACAAACAAAAGGAATGATGAGGTCTCACTGTTGTATGGAGCTTCAAGCTGCTGTGCTGTGGCCTCAAAGGTCAGCTGGATCTTAGGGTTGTCCAGCCACAGTTGGAGCTGAATGAGGGTGAATGAATTAAAATACAATAGTAAATATGCTGAAAAATATTATCTTGTAGCCTGTTGTCTTTGAACCCAAAATAATGTGTTTATATTGGCACTTACTGTGCGGTTGCGAATGTAGAGGAAAACCTTCTGGGTCTGCTGGGGACCACTGATGATGTCAGGGAAGCAGGCGGCCTCCTGGGATGTCATGCGGTCGTGAGGATGGCGACTCTGGAAAGCAGCTCCTTCTACACCTAACAGTAATGCAATATATGCAACATATCTTTGACGCAGGGTACTTATTCAAAAACTTCTTTATATCACTTTTATTTTTACCTGAGCTTTTTAAGTGTCTTTCCACTGTAAAGATTTCACTACCTAAGTTTTCAGACTCACCAGATGGCTCCTCTGGTTCACTCTCATTCTCCTCCTCTACTGGTGGAGGTGGAGGAGGGATCACTTGCTTCCTCTCTTTCTCTGCCTTGGCGTTTCTCTCCTCCTCAGAGTAATATTCGTCTTCCGACAGATTGGCCAGGCTTTCGTCCATCTCGCGGTACTCCACCTGCAACAGTAGGCACAATAAAAGCATCATTAAAACCAGCATTGTGGTGTCGGATTTGTTGAGGTGGTCCCGTTTTAATTTAAACTTACCAATACCTTTCTGGAAGAAAGAATAAAAACGTCACACAAACTACGACAAATTATTTCTGTTTCTAACTTGAACTAAGACATGCATGGAAGGGAGAACCTGTGACTTAACACTGGGTTTTCCACTGGTGGATTCAATGGGAGTCCTTCACTGTTCATTGCTCTGGAGGCTTTTACTGAGACCCGAATTGCTTGAGAGGTCTCCACCCCTCCAAAACAAATGGACTTGTTGATTCAAACCTGTAAAACACTGAATAAACCAGTTTCATATTAAAAATCTGTGTTTCTCCAATGGTCTTCAGCATACACAGGACACAAGCTGAGGCTTCGAGAGGGTCTGTTTGCTCAGCTTGTTTCTCTGTTAATTTAAGATTCAGACGTCCAATAACTAAATCAGTATTGCAACTTGAAATATTTGAATATCTGGTCATCTTGCAGACAACCAGTGCTTAGGGAACACTCTGGTAAGATACAGAGTAATATTGGAAAAGTTTAAATTATGAACATAGTGACTTCTGCCAGTGCCAAATTTATTTGATCACGAAGCATCCAGACTCATATGATGTTTACTTTTGCTCGCTTTCGTCGACTTGTCCTTCGGACTTCAGCTGAGTCCGGATCTGCCCCCCCAGGGCCTGCCTGGTGGGGCAAAGGGGCTCCTCCAGATTCCCCACTAGGGGATGACCTCTCCTTCTTTTTAACATCCATAGCTCCTGCAGCTGAGGCTGAGGTACCAGTCTGGGCATCCGACATTGGGGCCCTTTCACCTCCTGCTGCAACAGCAGAGGATGAAGAGGAGGAGGAAGAGGAGCCAGCATCTGACTTCTTGCTAGACAGCATTATGGAGGATGTTGGAGGCCTCTCCTGCACAGGTGGGAAAGAGGAATGATATGAAACCCTTGAAAATGAAACACACACATGCCCAAGGTACAATAACTTTTAAATTAAAGTGAAACAGATACAAGACTTTTGCAAAATATTTGATGAGAATGAAATAGTGTGGTTTGTTTGTGTTGGGGGGAAAAAACAAACCATAAGAAAAAAAATGTATGTTTGTCATCCCACTTTGAGTCAAGAACACTTGAAAAACAAGTGGGTATAAAAATGGTTTACAACACATGAAACCTCCAAAATGCATGACGAATTGTTATTATACTCACTTAGTGGCCAGATTAACACATTAAAAACTATCGAGCATGAAAACCACTTCGTCAACTGGTCTCATTGCTGTTGATACAACAGGCCACCAAACACCAATTACTGTTGGTCAAAAATGTCCCATCTGTGTCACTGGATTGTTAAAATCATATAAACTGTGCATGAATGTCATGGTTTTAATGAAATGAGGGCTCCGTGGTACAGTAACCTTGTCTTGTTTTACCCATTTCTCCGTGCACCTGGTAATATCCATTCAAACACTAAGAGATGAAGACACAACCAGAAATACAGTTACTATGAGGACCAGCTGGACAGAAACGTTGGCCTGTTATTTACTTTGCAGACACAGATCTAGAAATACCCAGTGAATAACACGAGATCATTTGATTACATATAATTCACTGTGGCTCATTCATTTAATAGCTTCTCAAGTTAGCCGAATGAGAAGCTGTAGAAAACCCACAACTGCGGAAAGTTTAGTCAGGAACCTTCATTTTACTCATACTATAAATATTTCTTTCATTTCCATCTTAACCGTACGTCGTAACGTTGACTAGCTAGTTAACTACAACGCTAGCAGCAACATGCTAAAGCTACAACCATAAGCTTGCGTTCGCTAGCGGTTTGTTCTTTACAGCCTCGTGCATGTAGCTCAGCTCCACGGTGCTTTAACATAACCGTAACACGAGCTGTGTTGCAAACAAGGATCTGAATCGCTTCTACAAATACCTTCTTTCTAATGTTTGTTACGAGACCATGCTACGTTAGCTAGCACCGCTAACAATAGACTAAGCTAGCACCAACTGTGACACAGTAGCAGGTGCGAGCTGGGGGAAAGGAAAGCGCTGGCTTCGCTCGCAAAGAGAAATGTTTGATAAAATAGACTCTGTGGTTGTTGGGTAACGTCCCTGCGGTGAGAACAACTGTTTTAGCGAGTACAAGGTGGAACAGATTTGATATAAATGTGAATATTACCTCTCGATCCCCCGAAGATGTCAACACAAAGACGGCACAGCAGCAGGACCACGCCTCTCAATCAAGGCGATTGGTGGATGGGAAACGTTACTCAACACCACACTGCAAAACGATTGGCCGCAGATAACTGTCAATCCAAGAGAGGGCGGGGATGTATTGCTCATTCTACCGCTGCGATTGGTCGATTGTATTGTTCCTCTCCTCGTCTAATGTTACACAATGAATTACAAAATCATGTCTACGTTGTTTTCTTCAAACAAATGTTTAGCGTTTTAGTAAATCATTCGTTGATGATCGCGGTTCAGCGTCTCCGCCCCATTTCCTCCTCCATTCATTGTTTTACGAAACAAAACTGATCTCAGATCGGCGCTGCAGACAAAGTGACGTCAGAGGGAAAGGAGCAGGCTGGGGAAAGGAGCAGGCTGGGGGAGGGAGGGGGAGGAAGAGGGAGGGGGGTGCACAGGTAAAGGTGATCTGTCCCGTCGTGTCTCCTCCTCAGGAAACGCTCCGAGGTGCCGGCGACTCCCTTTGTTTTTCTCCTTTTTTGAGCCAACTGCGTGTGAGTAACATTTACAATCTGATTCAAGATGACAATATTAACGCTTCACTCTTGATTCACTCACAGCTCCTGTAAACAGAGGGTTTAAAAGTGGGGAAGTGAATCTGATCTGGGATCGATGTTTTGATCTTGGCTAATCTGGGTGTTGCTGGTTTGTTAGGATTCAAGATGCATGTGGTATGAGGCCTTTCAGGGGGTGGAAGGGTGAGGGGTGGGTTTTAAATATGGTATTTTAATTGTAATGGTTCTAGCTGTATGCATCATTCCACATTAAATCAGTTTGCAATGTTCAGAGCAAGAAAAGAAAAAGAGAATCCGTCTATAATAGGGGGCGTTTCTCATGTTTGGCATAGCTGTTATACAAAGAACTTGAAATGAAGTATAGTACATACTATTAAACAGTAAAAACCAAGTGAGATGTTTAACTTTCTATCCAGAAACAAAAGGAAAATGGTGAATCAAGAGGAGGAGTCAGCCAACCGGCCTGACAACACCGCCTTCACTCAGCAGAGGCTTCCTGCATGGCAGCCCATGCTCTCTGCTGGCATTGTCATCCCAGGTTTTGTCATCATTGGCCTGGTGTTCATCGGCATTGGCGTCGCCCTCTTCGTCACTTCACAGAGCATCACAGTGTTGGAGGTATGAGTGAGTCTTGTGTGAAAATTAAGGCTCAAATGTCACTAGATAAAAGAGGAAGGAGAGGACAAACGCTCAGTCAATGGCAAAACTGTTTTCAGTGTGTATAGTACATTTCTGTTGTTGCTGCTTTAAACCCACATAGCAAAATAGTTTTGACCCAGATTAGACACACAGTCTGCCCACATTCCGTGTGGCATGATGACACTTAGACGGTCTGCTCCTATTTGCCAGATCTGTGCCACAGCAACTTACCACATGGGCCACTGTAGGTTCACATCCAGATTACGCTTTGCCTTTGGCACTGCATGTCTGCGAAAAAAGTCTCACGTTTGTTTTGGCATATTTTGGCCACATTTGCTCATTTTAAATTAGGCCACTTCAGGCTCACATACATTTTGTCCGGGCCACAAGAAGTGCTGCATTAGCCCACCTCCGTATGCTATCTGGGAAGTGATATGTGCTTGTGGTTTTAAAGAGGTGTGGCGTCTCTAACAGACAATAGAGAAAGGTGTTGTGCTGATCAATAATTAATAATGACCTTTCTTCTTCTTTACAGATCGACTACACTGGGGTTGAGAAAAACTCGCCATGCTTCCAGTGCTCCAACACAGATGTCAAGAACTGTGTGTGCAAAGTGGAATTCTCCATTGACAAGCTCTTTGAGGTTGCCATGGCACTTTGCACCCAATTGCACACAAACAGTACCTTTTAAAAAATGTGTCAAGTTGAGCCAGACTCCTGTCTCTGACCCTCTGCTGTGTCTTTGTGATTTTGTTTTCCTCCTCAGGGCCCCTTGTTCTTTTATTATGGCTTGTCCAACTACTTCCAGAACTACAGAAAGTACGGTGCGTCTAAAGATCTCTCCCAGCTGTCTGGAGACCTGCAAAATTTTAATGTGAGTTAACTGCATAGGGTATTGAAGGATACTCACACAACCAACGCTCTGTTTTTAATTAAAAAGTAAAGCTAAATCCATATGTTCTCACTTTTAAAAATGATCTGTAACAGCACATTGGTCAAACATATGGGTGCGGTTCATGTATTTATCAGTGGAAAGAAGCTGCAGTAGTGGTACTTTCACATCTGACATACAAATAAAGATCTCAGACGATTCACTCAACAAAATCACTGTTTTCTATCTCTCTTGAAGGATCCCACTGATGAATGTGCTCCATATGCTTATGACAATAAAAAACCAATTGTCCCATGTGGAGCAATAGCAAACAGTATGTTCAATGGTAAGTAAAAACATTTTAAACTTGAATGGCTCAAAGTAATGCGCATACCTGTGCCAAAGCCCAACAGTCCCCTTAGATTCAATCAGGCTGCACGAAATTTTACAAACTTATAGATATCAGTCCCTTTAATACTGTACCAGATTTCTTTTATGGCAAAATGACAAAAAAACATCCTATCTCACAATGTAGAATTTTATGACATCGATTGTTGAAATTGCATGTTGCAGCTGAACACCCCTCACCTCACCCTCTCTTTCCAAACATGAAAAAGAAACTGTGGTAGCCTTTAATTGTCATAAAATCTCAAAAGGTGTTTAGTTTGTCCAGTCTGGATGTAAATATAAAGTATTTGAATATAAAGGCCCTTTCTGGGCTAAAGAAAACTACACTTCATACAATTTAGATGAAACAAACTAGTGAAAACATCATGAGGATTATTCTACATTAAATTTCTGCCAATAGATCCCTTTCACCTAAATCTTACACACTGGACCTTTAAGGAAGTAGTAATTCTTTATTCTTTGTGGTTTTGAAGACACCTTCAAGCTGTATCAGATGATCAAAGGGACGAAAAAGCCGGTGACCCTGGATGGAAAGGGGATCGCTTGGTGGACGGACTACAACGTCAAATTCAGAAACCCCTCGGTGACCCCTCTGAAAAACGCCTTCAACGGTAGTAACTGTTGTTCAGTTTACTGTGGTTCACTGTCTGAGTAATTCAGTGAGTGTGTATAAGGTACTAGCAAAGCTGAGTACAAAAGCAGTAATTTAGCTTACTATAGTAAATAGTCGGCTCCAGGGCTGTTTAGAGGAAACGTCACATTATAACTTGCATTGTAATTAATGTTACATTTAGAAATCATGATAGCTGACTCATAGTTTAACTTTCAGGTACTACGAAACCCCCGTATTGGCCCAAGCCTGCTTACGAGCTGGACCCCACGGACCCAGCCAACAACGGCTTCATCAACCAGGACTTCCTGGTGTGGATGAGGACGGCAGCCCTGCCGAATTTTAGAAAGCTGTATCGACGGATCACAGAGGGCGATTATGCAAAGGGTCTGCCAGCTGGGAACTACTCTCTTGAAGTTGCCTACAGTATCCTTACAGGTGCAGTTGTGAGTTGAAGGGCCGTTTGAGGAGTTTTTAGCATTTATGTTGGTATAGTTTGAATCCTGTGCATAACGAATATGACTTATATTTTTCATGTCGACCCAATTTAATCCTTTTTCATTTAACAAGTTGTTAATGAGACGACTGAACATCTCAATCAAAAACACATTCTGTAACAAAAAAATCTTGCATTTGATATTGTTCTTGTGTAAGATCTTTCAGTAGCCAAAAGCAGCAGCCCTAACTCTCATTTCTATCTTGATACAAATTAAACTTAAAACCATTCAAATGTATATATAATAGATGTTTTGCACAACAATTGAGTATAATCAGAATCTTTGATAAAAGAGGGGGAAACAAAATCCACTTTAATCTTATCGATAAAGAGAGAAGGTTTGTGCATGCAAGGGATGATAATCCACACACATTACTGTCACAGACTTTGTCTCATTGTTAAACACACTTGTGCCATTAGCTGTGGAGACCATGAAGAAGAACACTGGTTTAAAACAATAATTTGGTGATATTTGAGATTCCCAGACCTCCATATCACCTAAAAGAGGTCAGGCATTGAAATGGCCTCATGTTCTGTGTCACATTACAACCACTGCAATTTGGTCGAACTTGTTTTACCAGTCGAGGTGTGTTTCTGGTTTCAACTGAGCAGAGTCAACACAGTGAGTGTAGTAGAAAAAAGACAGGCAAATGAGAGACAAAATATTTTTTACACGATAGATTCTCTTGGCAAAGCCTATGTAAAGTTCTTAAAGTCTTTTATTTTACTTGAAGGAACACAGCACTGTTTCCCCACGTTTGAAGTGTTTAACTATAACTCATGTGTATTTTTGCAGATCATTACCAATGCAAGCAACATAGTTGTAGATTTTATACAAGTCAAGAAAGTTTTCAGACTGTTAATTGATAGTCAACGTTTTGTAATTAATGTAAGTTAAACATCCAATATTTAATGTAGTATGTGATGATGTTGTGAAGCAGCAGGGGATCATGGGAAATGTTGTCTTCACCACCACTACTTTTTAAACTTTGGTGAGAGAAAGTGCAGCAAACAGCAATGAATAATCATGATCCATGACGAGTTACCAGTAAAAACATTGGAAGGAAAAAACAGCTGACCGGCTAATAGTGCAAATTTTTTCCTTCGTCATACGTCTAATGCCCCTAAAGTTATAGGAGAAATCCAAATAAAATGTCCTACTATCTTGAATCAAATAGGGGATTTCTCTGAGTTTGAACAGTCAAAAAATATAACAGGTTCACTAATTTGTAGTAGTAGTTGAAAAGAACATGAATTTTTTTATTCCAATTTGCTAAAATGTGCAAAATCAGTTTAATGGTTCATATTTTCATGTATGTAATTCTCATCAGTAAAATTATTAGCATGAAGCTAATCATTTATTTTTCTTTGTATTTCCGTTCTTGCTGCATTTCCTTAACATCTTGACCTTCAGATTATCCTGTTCTGGGTTTCGGTGGTAGAAAGACGGTGGTGTTCAGCAACGTGTCCTGGATGGGTGGCAAGAACGAGTTCCTGGGTATTGCCTACCTCGTGATTGGTTCATTGTGTGTCTTCATGTCCATTGTCATGCTCATCGTCTACGCCAAATTCAAGTTCCCTGAAGATGAATAATCCCCTGGTCATGGACTTTAATTGAGTTTAAATACTTTTCCAACAATTTTTTTACTCATTTAGATGATGACAGCACAGTTCAGTGCTGACATAAAGAGGAGTATACAACTAGACTCCACTTATGAACTGAGACCACAGAACCTGGCAGTTATTTTTGTGAGATAAGACTTAAATTGAGACTTATTGTACATATGCTCCTGTGTAAATTATAAAATGAGGATTTTCCAGTTTAAGCAGTTTATATACCTCTGGTTAATTATTTTACCACAGGTTAGGGGTACAGCAGGGTGTGTCGTATTTCTTAAACCTTGTTTTTCATCATTACAAAATCAGCTCATGAACTGCCTGAGATGTCAAAAATAATGTCAAAGCCATAAATCATTTGATAAGCTACTTGACTCTGGAAAAGTAGTTACATTTTACTTTGTGTATGCTGTGTGTATTGTAATTGTATTTGTTGCTCTGCTATCTCAGGGAAATGGTTACAAGCTGTTTAGCTCAGTTTTACCTAACTACATTTTTACTCTTCATGCTTGTATTTATTTAATAAAACTGCACCAAAACATTATGTCCCACTACTTCCCTCATTCGGACACTTTTATTGGCAACAGTGCCATTCTTTTTTCTTTTTTTTTTTAGAAATCGTAATATCCCCTTTGGAAATGTGGGGTTTTCTCATAAATGAGAGTTGTTTTTAGCTCCAACCACTTTAATATGACTTCAGAAGCTCTAATTGTTCAAACCATGGATGCATTTCTGCACAGGCCTTCCTTAAAAGCTCTATTCCATGCACCACATCCAGTGTATATTAATAAATGAACCAAACTTTAATGGGTCCTGGCTGTTTGCTACTGGAGTTCAATGTTTAAGCGTTATTGACCTTATAGGTGTGTCTGCTGAGCTGACTCAAATCCAAACTACACTATTCAAGGTGATTCAAGACATTTTTTCTCTGGTTATACGTGTGGGGAACTTGCAGGAAAGCTCTGTTGAGTTGAAATGATTTGTGTAACAAATTCAAGCCACTCATTCATTATTGAGCATGTGAGTCAGCAAAAGTGTACTTATGCTCATATATGTCAGATTGTGATTATCATTAGTTGATAGTTATTTTAATACCTTTTTATTATATAACTAACGGATTAGTGAAGTTATATTTAAATATATATAAAGCTTTGTCTCTTTGATTTTGAAGTTTTAGTCGCAGATGATTTTCAGCTGCATCATTGGAGACGACTCCCTTTCGCCCCCTATCGACAGACAGAAAGATAGATGGAGAGAAAGGAAGAGCGCAATGCCTTATGGGAATTGGAGTTATAAGCGGCTACAGCCCAGTGAAATACCCTCCCATTGAACATCAAGTACCACAATCCCTTGCGCGGATAAATCTGTATTGGGCAGCGTTGCGGCGTTTTGGCAGAGCAGCAGTCAGCGTCCACCCAGACACTGCAGCCTGCTTCCTAACGTCACCCCGGCCTTTGTTCAAGTCTCAGCCCGCGACACGACTGATCCCGGCGTCTCTGACAGAATGTCTGACGGCGGAGGGACGGAGGAGAACTCCGGCACCATGGAGGTGTCCGCCGTTCAGACGGTCGCCGACACGTCGGTTCTGCAGAAGCACATCCGCAAACTGATACCGCTGCTCCTGGAAGATGGCGGCGAGGCCCCGGCCTCTCTGGAAACCGCCCTGGAGGAGAAGAGCGCCGTGGAGCAGATGAGGAAATTTCTGGCTGATCCCCAAGTTCAAACCATCCTGGTGGAGAGGAGCGCTCTCAAAGGTACACTCAGCAGCAGCAGCATTAAACACCATGAACGCAACAGCAATAGTTTTCAATCCACCAGTGTTGCTGGATAGACGTTGAATGTGGGCCGGTGTTGTTTGACAGCCATGATAACAGCACTAAGCTAGCCCGCTACCTCCATCAGCACATTACATTAAAAGAGAACTACGCCACAGTGGGTGTGGACTGAAACGCAGTTCAGCGCAGGATCCTTTCACAGGATTCTTTCACTGCAAATGTCTTGTGCTCAGTGGCAGGTGTCTAATCTGTTGAAGGTGTAACACTTATTAAATTGAGCTTTAGTTCATTACATGTTTTGCTAATGTAGTGTTGTGTTCAGTGCAAGTTAGCATTAGCATTGTCTCACTTATGTCCAAGTGCAGTTTATTTCTGAAGAGGATGACAAAAGTTGAAATGTGGGTGTGCCAAAGAGAATAAAACAAACACACAGTGCTATTAAAAACATAAGGAAACCATTGTCAGATCCACCAGTCAGGTTTTCTCCACCTTCTCGGGGTTTTATCATGTGAACCAGCTTGTGTCAATGAACTCATTATGTTCATTTCCCCCTCCGGAAAATAAATCCTGTGCTCCAGAGCTTCCTGCCCTCACTAATGTGTTATGAGCACTGAACCTTGGTCCCTTGATACTGCACATGACCAACCAGACGCAGTGGCTGAGCCTGGAGGTTTTGGATTCCCAGCCTCAATAATCACTTTTCCAGCCTGTTCATGTTTTTGCACTGAGAAAAATGATCCTGCAAAGAGAGTGCATTGTCTGCAGATGGCTATCTCTTCCCACGCGCCATGGCCTTGTTTGCAAAAGAAAGGGAGGGGACAAAGATGGATGAGTCAGACCAAACAGTTAGATTGCACTGTCATCCTGCTGTAAAATGGCCCTCTACACACAGATTAACTCAGAGTTCACCATCAGTAGCAGAGCAGTTTTCTGGGCCTCGAGCAAACAACTGTTGATGCTTACTTGAAATGTCTATTTATTTGTCCAGATAACACATTTATATTAACGTTTTCTTCACACAGAGGATGTTGGAGACGAAGGTGAGGAGGAGAAAGAGTGCATCACTTATAACATCAGCATTGATATACACTACGGGATCAAGTCCAACAGGTAAATTATGCATCTAAATCATGAAAAGAAGTCATAATGTGCCATAACATGTATTTCCAATTTTAACATTACACGGAGAAAAGGCATGACACTCAGCTTTCACTTCTGTTTATTCTGAACTGTGAATATTCCCCTGCAGCTTGGCTTTAATCAAGAGGACAGTAGTCATTGATGCAGACAAGCCGATATCAACCCAAGTTCGAGTTCTGACCTTGAGTGAGGATTCTCCCTATGAGACACTTCACTCTTTCATCAGCAATGCCGTTGCGCCTTTCTTCAAGTCTTACATCCGTGAGTCTGGCAAGGCTGACAGGTAATTTCTAGGGATTTATGTCATTTTTGAAAGTTTCAAAACCTATGAAATTAACTGCATCACAAACTTTGAATCTTGTAGTATAGGTCACTCTATAAAATTCCTTCAAAGCCCTTAAATCTCTGTAATCACCTTCTAGAGATGGCGATAAGATGGCTCCCTCAGTTGAGAAAAAGATTGCAGAGCTGGAGATGGGACTTCTCCACCTGCAGCAGAACATTGAGATCCCTGAGATCAGCCTGCTCATCCACCCCATCATCGCAAACATCGCCAAGCAGTGCTATGAGCGTGGAGAGAAGCCTAAGGTCACCGACTTTGGCGACAAAGTGGAGGACCCAACTTTCCTTAACCAGCTGCAATCTGGAGTCAACCGCTGGATCAGGGAGATCCAAAAGGTAAGGGGCTTTCCCGTGTTGCAAATTTAAACAAAAGGTGTATGGAGAAATATTCATGCGTGATGCCAACCACCAAGTTTATTTGTCTCTGCCAATACCCTTTTATTAGGTGACAAAGCTCGATCGTGACCCCGCTTCAGGCACAGCCTTGCAGGAGATCAGTTTCTGGTTGAATCTGGAACGAGCCCTCAACAGGATCCAAGAGAAGAGAGAAAGCCCAGAGGTTCTGCTCACACTGGACATCCTTAAACATGGCAAACGTTTCCATGCTACTGTCAGCTTTGACACTGACACTGGTGAGTAACGGCCAATCAGAATGTAAAATTGTTTACCCAGATTCCTTTTCTTACAATTGTTTGTGCCTGCTCTACTTAACACAGGTCTGAAACAGGCTGTGGAGACTGTCAATGACTACAATCCTCTGATGAAGGATTTCCCACTCAATGACCTGCTCTCTGCCTCAGAGCTTGATAAGATCCGCCAGGCACTGATGGCCATTTTCACTCACCTGAAAAAGATTAGAAACACCAAGTACCCAATCCAGAGAGCATTGCGTCTTGTAGAGGCCATTTCCAGGGACTTGAGCTCCCAGCTCCTCAAGGTTTTGGGCACCAGGAAACTCATGCATGTTGCCTACGAGGAATTTGAAAAGGTTAGTTAGGTTTTTCGAAGTACACGCTTACTACAGCTCCTTAGAAATGAAAATCTTAACTAAATGTACTTTTAAAATTCTGTGTGCAGGTGATGGTGGCTTGCTTTGAGGTGTTCCAGACCTGGGAGGATGAGTATGAGAAACTCCAGGTGCTTCTGAGGGATATTGTGAAGAGAAAGAGAGAGGAGAACCTGAAGATGGTGTGGCGTCTTAGCCCAGCACACAGGAAGCTCCAATCCCGACTGGACCACATGAGACGTTTCAGAAGGCAGCACGAGCAGCTGAGGGCTGTCATCGTCCGTGTGCTGAGGCCTCAGGTAAAATTGAGACTATAATTTTTATACAGTTCACAGTTGCTTCGCTTTAACTGAGAAGTTTCCATTAATTAGATTCTGAGTGTGTAATTGTTCTCTTTATGTAGAGTCTTACATTGTAGAGATTGATGTCTGTCTGTTTTATGCACCTTTGTCACCAGGTCTCTGCTGTGCCTCAGCATGCCCCTGGGGAGACAGTTGAACCTCAAGATATGAAGGTAGCTGGAGTTCTTTTTGATGCCGCCGATGCCAACGCTATTGAGGAGGTCAACCTGGCATATGAGAACGTCAAAGAGGTTGACGGCCTGGATGTGTCTAAGGAAGGCATGGAAGCCTGGGAAGCTGCCATGAAGCGTTACGATGAGCGCATCGACCGCGTGGAGACCCGCATCACTGCCCGCCTGCGTGATCAGCTGGGAACTGCCAAGAACGCCAACGAGATGTTCCGCATCTTCTCCCGCTTCAATGCTCTGTTTGTGCGCCCCCACATCCGCGGTGCCATCCGGGAGTACCAGACGCAGCTCATCCAGCGCGTGAAAGACGACATTGAGTCCCTGCATGACAAGTTCAAAGTGCAGTATCCTCAGAGCCAGGCCTGTAAGATGAGCCACGTCCGCGACCTGCCACCTGTGTCTGGATCCATCATCTGGGCCAAGCAGATTGACCGTCAGCTGACTGCATACATGAAGAGAGTGGAGGATGTTCTGGGAAAGGGCTGGGAGAACCATGTGGAGGGGCTGAAGCTCAAGCAGGATGGAGATAGTTTCAGGGCCAAACTCAACACTCAAGAGATATTTGACGATTGGGCTCGTAAGGTATGGATTTGATCATAATTAATCTTATGTACTGACCATTCTTATTTCCTTTTTCAAATATTACTCTGGTTTTAATAAATTGCCAATTCTTTCTATTGTAAATCAGGTACAGCAGCGTAACCTCGGTGTATCTGGCCGCATCTTCACCATTGAGAGTACTCGTGCCC